ATCTCCCAACTGGGCCAGAGCTTTCTTAGCACTACATTGTAAATTATAAAAAGATATACTGTACTGTATCTCTTCCATTAGGCATAGTTCAGCTGTCGAAAATTGTACTGTTGGTGCCTCTTTTATCATCTAGTGAGAATATAGCTCAGATAATGAAATCGTACATTACCCTTTGAGATTTACAAATCTGACACCACATGTAATGTCTGCTCTCCCTGCTTTAAATTAATATATAGGGAGACATCTCTTTGTATGTGGAAAATCATTTCTTTCAGTTATCCATAATTTTAGAGGTCATTTAATGAACAGAATGATGGTTTGATAGAATCTTTCTCTCATTGTAACTAATCTAATAAGTATCTAACATTTTAGGTAGTACTGTGCTATCTGTATTGCTGCTCAATGAGGCTGCCACTTGTTCCAAAGACAAAAACCAGACTGGCAGGGAAGCAGCAGCTTGGCATAACTTCACATACTCGCTTGTCGGAGAATTTCAAATCACTCTTCATATCTTTAGTGAGCTCATTCGTTCAGGAGAAACAGCTTGGACTTGGCAACTGATTTTGGGAGTACATATTTCTCTGATGTTCTAGGGAGTACTAATTTGTGCCTTATAAATTATACAAAGTACCTATCAAGCAGTAAATAGGTAAATGGAAGCGAAGGTCAGCAGTGTTTGAATGAATCCGCTGCTGAAGATTTGTCCTCTGATATTTTAATTGCTCCCCTCTGATGCATTCAAAAGGCATGATTATCTTTAAATAATGGTGAAAATATAGACCTTTTTTTACTCCCTCTGCTTTATCAACCAAATCAAGCTTAAATTTTATGTATTTGCCTATAAGGCACCTCACAGCTCAGTCTGCAGCACTGGCTTATTTCTTCTCTTTCTCCTCTCCTTGCTCCTTCAGACCTGTCAAGCTGCAGGTTTTTTCCTTGATCTTTTCCTATTTTATATAACCATCACTGCACCATTTTTCAGTTTGCACAGTAGTATCTGTAGTGCTACTCTGACTAGTCTTAACAATTTGCCTGGTTATTTATATGATATTCACATGGAATTATTGGATATGCATTGCCCAGCAGACTAATGCTGCCTGTTGTTTCCAGTGCTTACAGAAACCCCTTTTCAAGTCTTGATCCTATTTTCAGCGCAAAGCAGCATGTTTTTAATGGCAGGAGGATGAAAGGAACAGGTTAGCAGCTGTGTCCATATTGCAGCTTTCTAAATCCACCTGTACAATAGAAGATTGGAGGGCTTGTGCCAATGGTTTGAAACATATCTCATGACTCTTGAATTTTATAAGAAGTTTTGAGGAAGAGGCAATGATGATTTTTTTTTCCCCCTGTGAACTGTTCACAGCCACCTCCATGTGGTGATCAGTCCTAGGTCAGAGTGAATTTTACTTCGACTCACAGTCGCTATCCACTTTAAACAGTTTATTAAGCCCTAGGCAAAGGGGATCCCAGAACTCCACAAGTCACTTTACTGCTGCTGCAGAGGAGAGTAGTAACTGCATCCCCTTCCCTTAAAACCTCAAAGACATTTGCCTTGAAATTTTCGATTTTCAAAGTTTTCAGTAGGATACTAGTTGAGTAGTGACAATGAATTTTGTCCTTCAACCTGTTTTATAGATACAGGTTTCTTGTCAGTAGGTTACAAATTAAATTCCCCAACACACACAGACTATTCAGTAATTCACCACAGCTTTTTAATCATAACTCACAGTATGTGAAGTAGTTCTCCACAGGAATGAAGGATTGTCAGAAAAAAAAATACAGATACAGTTTATTCTATTATTATTGAGAAAAGGCTGGACATGATAGGCTCTTGAAGGCCATTTTTAGGATTTCTTTAAAACATTTACTCTTTTTTTATCCTGCATATTTTGCAAATACATGACTTCAAAGACTACAATTCCCTGATAGTAGAAGTATTCTTCAGGCAGCTTTCTATCGAACTGGAGGATGTTACCCAACTATCACACTCACAGGGACTTGTTAACCAGAGGTTTGAAGCCTACAATAAAGATAATGTACAAGACAAACCCTCACGCATTCACCATTCACTGTAGATGGCTTCTGCTGTGAGCCACTTCTGTTTCTTTTGATGAGAAACTTCCTTAGGAGATGAAATAACAGGTGTACCTACGTGCATGCTGATTGTCTACATCAATTCACTGAAACCTGTGGGAGAGATGCAGCACAACAAAACTGCTTACAACAAACAGCTTGTTAAAGAAGTCTAGAAAACTTCCCTCTTATTTCTCACCCACTTCCCCACACACTCCCCTCTGGTATGTAAGTAGAACCCCTAGATTATAGGGAAGGAAGCCAGGGAAAGTTTCACAAAACCCACGATGTTAGACCTCTGGATTTCTAAATTGTCTGTTTCTGAAGCTTCAATGCAGGCAGCAGCCAGCTCAAACACTTCATCCACCCACAGATGTGATTATCAGTGCACAAACTGAAAGGAAACACAGAGATGACCTGCTTTAGGTAGGCAGCAGAATGAGTAGCAGAGGAGAAGAAACAAAGCACACCTCAGGCTCAATAAATGCCCACTAGTGGCAACCGCCTTCTCTGTGCCTTCCCAAAACAATTTAAAAAATAGTATAAATCTGAGGAAAAAAATCAGTACCAAAATTTGAAGGACTGGGGAGGGAAAGCATTTTATTATCCAAACTAGACTGCTATAACTCAAATGAAGGCATTCCAGATGTTTTGGTACTGAGGGTAGGATTTCTGGATTGTTTAAAGGGAGTTAGTTCTCAGCTTCTATTATTTACCTTGTACTTTATTTATATTTATATGTACAAATTATTACATGAAAATCTTATACCTGCAGTGCTGAAAATCTTTTTGCCTGGGATGGTTAAAAATAAAGGTGAACTGAAATAGCTTTTGCTCCTATTAATCTTAAAACATAAATTGGCTAAAAAGAGCCTGTGTTTGCCTTAAGATGCTGTGGAAAGAATATTTAAAATGACATAGGCATTCTTTCCTGGGGACCTCCTGATGGCTCCTGACATTTCAACCTTGTAATGTACCAGGCGCATTTTATTTTGTTTGTGCAATTAGTCGTGTTACTTAGCAATACAAAAAGTGCTTTTTACACTAAACTCCAGGGAATAAAATATGCAGAATTCATGAGATACAAAACACATCAAAATTCATTTCCCGAGCAGAAGCACTGAAACATTGTGTAGCAAAAACTATTACTTTTTTCATTGTGTTTGTAATAAAGAACTCAAGCAACCATGCCCTTCAGGGCTGGGCTCCTCACCACTTCACTTGAACTCAGCCTCTGCATTGAGCCATGGCATGTGAAGTTAATTACTCTGGGCATTGGGGCTCTGAACAGAAGAATGACCCTATTTGCAGCTCCGTGTACCGTGTACCACGCTACAGTGAATTCTTTCAGTACCTACACATCGCACACTCAGTGGCTCCGAATGGAGTAATAATTCTCACACTCTGGAGGAAAGCTCAACTGTCATCTCATTTTCCCAGGGACGCTCGTCTTCCCCGGAAACCATTTAATGGGGGCTGACATCAGTCCACATCCAGTCACTGTCACCCTCCCAGTTCAAAAGGCATGAAAATCCAAGGGTTACAGCTTTCAGAAACTGTCATGCAAGAGGGCAGGCTTGAAGCGTTTGCCGAGCCTGGATCCGGTGATCCCGACGCCAATCAGCTTTTGTGATAAGGCATCAGAATGATGTAGATTCAGAAATCTGTTACTGTGAATGACTCCCCACCCAGAGAACCAAGCACTGTCTGCGGGAGACCTGGTTGACATAATTTGGCAAGATGGTTGACTCACTTAGGAGCTGAATATTTTCAAAGGACTGCATAGCTGGGGAAAAATAATTTAACAAAAAAGCCCATTAGACATGATTGCTCATCAAATAACTAACTACTTACTCTCAGTTACTGCTGGAGTGAGAACTTTCAGCACCTTTAACAAATGAAAAAATGAAAAAACACCCTGCCCCTCTACAGCTCTAACAGAAGCAATGGTGTTTGATTGGATGTAGAGAAAAACACATTTGATCCCTTCTTAATGCATGTATATGCTGGGATGGGTTGCATTCAAGGAAGAATTAGGTGACTCTAAAAGAAAGAACCTTAAATGTTATATCCTTTGGAGACTGTTCCTAGTTTTGTACAACCCATATTAAGTGACTGTCTATGACTTCCAACACAACAATGACATTCTTGATATGCTTATTCCAATACCACGTTCTCAGTAGCTGTAGAGAACTAGACTTGTTAGTTGCCTTTAAATGGCACTTCTTTTCTGATTGTTAATTCAGTAATATCACCATTTACTTCTACTAGATTTTTCAGGCCCAATGACTTTGTGGTTTGTTTTTGGTTTTGTTTTTTTCCTTTAAGGAAAATATGAGGAAGCATATTCCTATCAACAAAATTTTTGTCTGAAACTTTCCAAATTCTGGAAATAATCTCCCTATCTCCTGAAGTATCATCAGGAACTTTCCTATTTCTTTCTTTCATTCATTTTGTTGTCTATTCTCAAGCTCTGAGCCTTTTTTTTTTTCCAGAGCAGAATCTGAAGCTTCAAAACAGACAGCAATGAAGGTGGCACTATAAGAAATCTAGAGCAGGTTAGATCTAGAATGGTTTTGCCTGAATTGACACTTTAATGTGCAGGACTTTCAGGTGACCAGAAGAGAAGGAAACATCAAGTTTTTCCCAACATTCTCAGAGAAGTTACTGAAAGGCTTATAAGGGCATAACTTGATTATTGAGACACATGCACTTCCATAAACCCTACTTGGTTGCCTTAATATTAAAAGAATAAAATGGGGTTTTTTCCCCACTTATTTTTTTTTTTCCTCCAAAATATAAGCCTCATGTAATTTGTTTTCTACCTTCTTAAGGAACTGTTATAGCAATCCAGATTATGAAATTTCAGATTAATCTATGTGATTGTACATGCTGCATAGTCATGAATTGTCACAGTCAACACTGACCTCAGTAAGTGCACTTCTCAGGTAAACAGTACTTGACACAGGATCTCTTTCTCTTTTCTATTATTTAGTAGTTGTTATAGTCAGTGGCTTGGTTGCATGATAATACATCTTCTTCTTGTACCTGGATAGCTGAAACAATAAAGCCAGAGAATAAAGACCAGAGAGTTGTGATTTAGAGCATATGACACTTCTAGGGGTATTTTTAAGATTAATATCAATTTTTGAACACGCTCCTGGAAGTTTTGTACCTTTGCACATTTTCAAAACTGCCAGACAGTTGTCTGAATAATCATCAATAATATTGAACTAGTTGCATAATCTGATTTAATCTTTCCTTATTTTTGCTGAAAATTGACCTTTAATGTAATGTTTTTCTAACACTTTTCTAACATGTATTTATCCTAGTTTACTTCCAAGAAGCTAAGATTTTTTTTTCTTATTAAATAAAATCTGATCATATAAAAAAGTATCATAGTCTGTGAAGCATAAAACATACTATTCATGAATTAATATTAATATTTGTACCATTCCAAAGGTTTTAAATGCTCCAATTAAGATATACAGTCATTTGGTGGATTTAGAATACGTTTAGGATATTTAAATTAATGAATTTGCTGGGTCACCACCAAGTTTTCAGGGAAAATTTGGCTTATGGAATGTAATTACAAAGAAAATCACTCTAAGCACATAGATAGGAATTGTTAGAAAAATGATCTATAACTTCCAGAATTCAGTTCAGGTTCTGTCATGCTTTGTGTGACAAACTCTCTGGAACTTGAATTCTGCAGGTTTTTGGAACAACATTGAAAGGTTAATTTTAAAGAAAACACACCAGCAAGCCTCACAGATTATAGGAGAAAATCAAATGTCATAATCTCACAGAATGTCTACTGCATCCAGATGAAAGGCAAATTTACTCGTTTAAGAAGCAACATATTTGTCTTATTTGCAGAAGTGCACCAATTGCTGATGGAAAGATCCTATGCAATTTTGCTTCTCTGAAATGGAAGCAATTAATCTGGTTAATATTTTGCAATTTCATCATTTCCTCTAAAATAAAACTTAATTCTTAAAAAAAAGAGTATAGAGAAAGAAGGAACCCACACTGATAAGCACCTTTTAGAGCTCAGAATCAGGGGCATGAAAGTTCCTTCAGAGCAGTGGACTGACATCTCCCGTTCTAAAAATGCTATGGACTGTTTTTCTACATGTTTTTCGCTTCTGTTCTCATTACCTCTACTGATGAAAGCCAAAGGAAAAGCATTTTCCTGAGAACTTTCCATTTTAATAAACCATCACACCAAACAACTGTAAGTTCCCAGGTACAGAAGAAGCTTGTTATTTGAGACAGAGAGCCTCTCCTTGTAATGCTTATTAAATATGCATTAAGCCTGTTGATGACTCTGCTATCCCATCCAGTGAGAATCCTGGACACATGGGATCATTTCCTAGGAGAGTGATGGAGGCACACTCTTAGATTAGATCTGCAAAATTTGTTCCCTCCATTTCAATATTTTAATATCCACGCAGAGTATAAATATGGTAGAAGTTGTATAATTGCAAAGTCTTCATTGAAGTATACAAAATGTACCACTGATTCAAGGAATGTGCTCTTTCTGCAAGAAATACAAATAATGTTCTGATTTCTACTGAACTATTCTTACTTGCATCAACTGAAAATCAGGTTCAGGACAGGTGAAGTGTCATTATTAGGCACAGTGTTTACATAGGACAAGTTTTTATTATTGTATATCCTTTCCTCTTCTACTGTCATGGTATTTAAAGAGATGGAAAATTAAAGGAAGTAGCACTCTAACTTCTGTGTTATTATATTTTTTATTTCTTAAGTGCACTAAGAATTGTGCTCTTTTTTTTCCTACAGATGTCTCAACTCTATTAGCTGTAGATCATCAAGTTATATTTACAGAAATTATAATAAAAGACAGAAATAAAGTCACTGGATGTCAACATCCTGATCTGTTTTATAAAAAAAAAAAAAAAAACAAACAAAATCAGTGTATTTCAGAACAAAAACAAATAAATAATATTAAAAAGAAAGAAAGGAAAAAATATGCTCTTGACAGGTGACCAGAGAAAATAACTTGTGGGAAGGTTTTAAGCCCTGAGGATTTATTTGTACCTGCTGGGTTAGAGACGGTCAAAGAGCAGAAATAATGATCAGACAGACAAATACACAACCACAAATAAACCTGTGCCATTGCTCCTGGCAACAGTTCATTATTTAAAACAGTGCTACTTTGAAGAGAAAAGCAAAATGCTTGAGACCTGTTTTTTGTATAAAGGTAATGGAAAACTCTGTTTAAAGATTGAGCATCCTGAGAGATCTTTGAAGGTAAAAGGCAGTCTTCCAGAAACGTTTCTTGTGATAGGTGCTTAGAAACAGGATGTGATTTGTGTAAAATAAACCAAAAGTGTTCCAAAATCTGCAAGTCCGTATCTATAGCACTTCACACGGGGTTGTAGATGTCCATGTTGTTCTGTTGCCATTTGCTGAACCAAATAATTCAATTTAATTTCTGGTATGATTTACATACTCAGCATACTGGGTTTATTAGGAGGATGACAATAAACCAGCAAATGTTGCATTTTGATAGAATGGAGAGGGGAATGGCATACATGAAAGCTTTTCCACAGAATACACCACAGAATAAATCAGTAGCCCTAGGAACAACCTTGATTCTGAGGGATGGCATGCAACCCTTCATGCATTCACAAAGGTTGTTTGAATATCCCACAGGCACAAATATAACTCACCACTTCACTTAGGGAGTAAATAGTTTTTATAGTGTCACTTGGAGCAACTCCTGGGATGGTGCTGTGCAGGGCAAGGAGTTGGACCAAGTGGTCCTTGTGGGTCTCCTCCAACTCAGCATATTCTGTGATTCTGTGAACTGCTAGTCTCCTACACCATGAAAAAATCTACAGGGAGCCATTAGATTAATATAGCTTTCTATTCTGGCTACTCTGTACTTGTGTTAATTCAACACACTTGAAGAAAAACAAAGTGCCCAAATGCAAGAAGAGAGCTCGATGCAAGGAGATGGGGCAACAACATTTGCTTCTTTTCTTTTTCCTTTTAACTTTTGAAGAGCCACTTGTACCCATCAGTTTATCAGACTGACACATCTTGTTGTGTAACTGCCTGATGCGATGTGGCACAGCCCATCAGGTGTCTGAGAGTCAGGTTCTACTTCTCTGTTTTGACAGCAGCCACTCAGTCCCAGCACAGGTTGCTTTTACTTTCTTTGCTTGTTTTGCTAGGTTAGTATCACACTAACACATATTTGAGCGTAAAATAACAGAAGCAGAGATAAAGTCACAACCTTGTGATGACACTTCAGGTACCTACGCTTCCCTCTCAGTCCTTCACGACTACACTGGTGTCTCTATGGATTATCTAGACCTTTCATTTTAAAGAACAGAAGAACTGTGTTTGTTTTGTCCCAATTTCATATCAAGCTTAATAATGCATATCAATTACACTGTCATGTCCAGGCAAGTGCATATACAGAGTTTAGGTTAACAAAACCAGCAGGACTGCAGCTGCCACAAAAAAATTCCCTTCCAAATTCTTTGTTCACCATGAGTCACCATCAGCATTCTTCCACCCCAGACTTATAAATGGGGTGTTCCACAACATTACAGTGGCCTTTCTGCACACAACCTCTGGAACTTTTCCAATAAAATGAGTCTGAGTTTTTCTTCAGAAGACAATGAATTTACGGACAGAAAAAATCCGTGCAGCTGAAGAGCTGACATTCCTCTCTCCTGTTGTTTTTCAGTTTCAGTTTTAAGTCAATAAAAGGAAATCTGTGTAGTTTGAAGTCCCTAGGAATTCTCTCAACTACAAAGAAAGAAGCTCATGTTGCTGAGGTGACAGCAGACAGATAAAACCAATACTCAAGAGAGAAAATACCAGCAGAAGCTCACATGGCTCAATTTGAAGCATTATTGTTATTATTTGCAGCAAAATCAATTTACCGAGTATTTTTAGCTGTAGATCAGATCTGTATCTAGCTTTATGTCAATGTTGATGAAAGCATCACTTTTAGCACACAGTCTGAAGGTTTCTTTTTAGTGAATAAAAAATATATTCAAGTGATATTTTTCCCATTGAAGCAAATATATGAACAATTTCGACCTTCTCTTTAATTATGTATAACAATGCCCACTTTCATCCTCAGACAAGCCCCATACTTTGAAGATCAGCTTTGCCCAAGGTCTGCAGGCAATTCTAAACAAGTGTTTGAAGACCCCTGAAAATGAGCCTAATGCTATTTGCCTCCAGGTTGGTTATCCCAGTTACACTCCCATATAGTGTTATGCTAAAGAATTAACCTTATTGTCATACAAGAATGACTTCTGAGTGGCTGTAGCTGAATTAAAATAACAAAGGGAGCTAAACTTTATAAATTTCATAAGGGGTTTTAATGAGTCAAATGAGGCAGGGGAACTGATGGAATAGCACAGATCAATTCTGTAAATATGTGAGTACAGCAGTTACTTGTTTCCAAATTTAATTGCCTCTCTCTGGGTAAAAAAGTTAGGGTAATTATTGCCATAGAAAGATTTTTTACTGAAATGTCTTCCCATGCATCAATCTTTTCCTCAGCAATGTGGGAAGTTTGTTTTTATGAGCTCAGAAATATATTTTATATTTGTAATACACAGAAGCAAAGATTACTCAGGGTCTGTTTTCATTTGGTTTAATGTGTGGGGTCTTTTTTTTTTTACAGAAATTAACAGTTTAGCTTTCCTTTGCCTTGTGATTGCCTAACTTAACCAAGGTCACAAGGATAAGTTGAGATTTAGAAAGGAAATGTACATAGTTCTGGGGATCTGGGCTCTGCTGTGCAGTTGCATGATCTCATCATCCAGAAACTCATCCTTTCCCACAGATCTCCACTCACTTTGCCACTTTCTCCTCCTGTCCTCGTCAGGCAGGATGTAAGAAGAGGACAGGCTCACACTCATCCCCCACTCATCCCACACTCATCCCACAAAGCACAGCCAGCAGGATCACAGAAAAGAAAGATAATTCCTTTCTCTTCCTCTCTTCTGCCATTTAGTTGTTAAACTAAGGGGAATGCAGTGAGCAATAAGTACAACAGGCATGTCTGGAACCAGGCCATTAGTGTCATTCACTCAGCAAACTTAAGAGGTATAAGAGGAAGGAAAGCCGAAGCAGACCCCTGTAACAAGTAGATTCATTGACTGATTTGGGGGCCAGATGTGGCTCTACTGCAATTTCATTGACTTTTGTGAGATTACCCCTGAGTGAATATGGTCTGTAGAGAGATTAGTCCTCTAGGAGAAAATGACACCTCATCAGCCCATATTTTGCTTTCTGGAAAACCAGTTATGTCATGAGAGCACAGATTAGGGCATGAAACAAAAGAAAAAAAGAGCAATTGCCAGTCAAGGTGAATATAACTAGGCCTAAATCAGTGATAGAAATTAAATGGCTCATTTTCATAAGAAAAGAAACTGTGCAGGACATAAACAAATTACAGAATTTTCTTTCTTTGCACAGTAATAGAGGGTCCTTGGAAAGTAAACAAACAGTGAGAGCACTAGTGAGGTTTATGTCACAGCACTAGTTAAAATCCCAGCTGAGAAAGGGAAAACTACTTTGGATTTAGCTATAGCAATAAAATTTTTAAAAGAACATATGGACAAGCCTTCTGATAAAATGCTCAGATTATTATTGCAGGAAAAAATATGGAATAAAAATGTGTGTGCAGAAGAAGGAAAATACATGCTATATAAGAGCTCAGAATTAAAGAACAAGGTTGTCAGGACCTGGTTTCAGCAAAAGCAAGAACTGAGGATCTCTTTAAGCATTTGATTGCCTCACAGCCACAGTCTTAGGAACAGTCTCATGGCTCCAGTAAAGACCATTAATAGGCCAGATTCTTCACCCTTACTAACTGCATCTGGAGCTGTCAGCCTGTGACTCCTCCAGGGGACAGAGAAGGAAAAAACATCACAAATCTCAGTAGAGTTAAAACAATAGAAGCCTTCAACGTGCATTTGTTAGCGACACTGGAACAAGGGAGGTGTTGAAGAATGTTCCCTTCTGCAGCTGTGTGAGAGGGGTGTTGCTCTCCAGCAGGAGGACAGTAATGGCCAGATGACAAGGTGTGAGGCAGGTGAACCCCTTTCACCATCTCACTGGATTGCAGAGATTAACTTTTAGAATTGAAGTAATAAAAGTAATAAAAGTAATTAAACACTCACCATTGTTGTGGGTTAACCCAGGATACTGGAGAACAAAACAAGATCCAGAAGGTGGATCAGGCTGCTAGGGTTGAAGTGGCTCAGGTGGATCTGGCTGGCAGCTTGAGGGTGAATTATTCATAGTTCTGTTGTGGTTTCACCCCAGACACATTAGGTACCATGCAGCTGCTCATCTCCACAGTCCTGGTGGGATGGAAAGGAGGATCAGATAAAAGTAAAAACCTGTGTGCTCAAATAACAATTAGTAATTGAAATGAAATATAATAATAATAATAATAATAATAATAATAATAATAATAATAATAATAATAATAATAATAATAATAATAATAATAATAATAATAATAATAATAATAATAATAATAATAATAATAATAATTTAAAAGAGAGATTAATAATAAAAAAAATAAAATCCAAGCAATGCACAGTGAAATTGCTCACCACCCACTGACTGCTGCCCAGCTTCTCCCCAGCAGTGATTCTTATGCCACAACTGATATCTCATTTTTCTCCATCCCTTTGGTAGAAGAGTGCAGGTCACAATTTGCTTTTACTTGGAAAGGTGTCCAGTACACCTGGAATCAGCTGCCTCAGGGATGGAAGCACAGCACTGCCATCTGCCACAGACTGATCCAGCCTGCACTGGAAGAGTGGAGCCACAGAAATCTGAGATACATTGATGATATTATTGTGCCATGCTACATAGCACAAGAGGTTCTTAAGAAGGGGCAGAAAACGGTCTGAATCCTTCTGAAAACTGCTTTGCCATAGAACAAAGTCATGGAACCTTCACGGGAGAATCAGCTTTTAGAAAAAAAATGGCAAGATGAACATCACCAGATGCCAATGGATCAATGGATGTGATCAATAAAATAACAGCTGTGCTTTCTTAAACTGTGAGCATTGTAGAATGTATATTCCAAATTACAGTGAGATTGTCAGTCCTCTCTGTCAAGTGACCCAGAAGAAGAATGATTTCAAATGGGGCCCTGAGCAGTGACAAGCCTTTGAAAAAAATCAAACAGGAAATAGCTCATGCAGAAGATCTTGGGCCACTTTGGACAGAGCAATAAAAAATGTTCTCTACAACACAGCCAAGAGGAATATCTCTACCTGGAACCTCTGGCAGGAAGCACCAGGTGAGTCTCTAGGTCAACTCTTTAAGTTTTTGAGTCTGGGATACAAAAGATCTGAGGCCTGCTATATTCCAGCTGAAAAAAGAGATGGTGGTTTGAGCTGCTTCAGAAATTATTTGTGGTGAAGCACAGCTCCTGCCAGCACACTGTCTGCCAGTGTTGGACTGGATGTTTGAAAGGAAGGGTCCCCTCTACACATCATGCAGCAGATTCTACACAGAGCAAGTGGATCACACTGATCACACAGCTTAAATAGAAAACCCCACTCACTCAGGAATTTTGGACTATGGTGGTCATGGACTATCCAGAAAACAAAGATTTCATAATACCAGTAGAGAAAGAGGTGGCAAGTGCTGAAGAAGTCCCATGTTGGGCACCAGAAAAGGACCATTGTGGTTTAACCAAGCAGGTGCTTAAATACAACACAGTCATTCATTTACTCAGAGTCCCATGGGGATAGGGGAGAGAAATAGGGAAAAAAGGTAAAATTCATGGCTTGAGATAAAAACAGTATGACATGACAGAAAGGAAGCAAAATACTAATACTAATACTAATACTAATACTAATACTAATACTAATACTAATAATAATAAATAATGCAATTGCTCAGGACCTGTTGACCAATGCCCAGTCAGTTCCAAAGCATCACCCCAAAGCTACCTTTCCTCTTGTATAGTCAGGATGATGTCATATGTCGTGGAATACACCTTTGGGCAGTTTATGTCAGCTGTCTTAACAATAACTAAAATATCTTTTTTTTTGGGGGGGTCAATATTCTGATCCTAAATTTAAAGTACAGCACTATACCAAATAATAGGAAGAAAATTAGCTCTATTCCAGCCAAAATCAGGAACCCATTTTTATCAATGAGAACATAATATATAATTGTAATATAGTAACTATTATCAATTTAATATAATTGGAAAGATAAGCTGGTCTGATCTATTTTAGTTAAGTTTGTGAATAGAAAAAACAATCAAGAGTAATGAAAGCAAATAACAGAAGGATTGGGTTTTCAGAAAGTTGTTTAAAGTTTATTGCTTTTCTTAAAATACTTGCTTTTAATGAAAACTTACAGCTATTCCAAAGGTTTCTGGAGTCTGTTTTTGCATTTCCCTTTGGACGAGAACTTGCTGCACTGTTGTAATTCAACCACTAAAACTTCCACACCAGGAACAGGCCAGGGGCAAAGTTATTCTGATTTTTACACTGTCCCAGAACTGTTTTATTACTGCATACCCTCAGATCCCTAAGTTACAATAGATATCAAACTCAGCTGTCCAAATCTATTTTTACAATAATTCAAACTGGTTTAATGCTTTTATTTTACATCTTCCATCTGTAGCATATTCATATTTAATATATGAAGCCAATTATATGTGAAAATCTAAAATGATCTGATTTAATGAAAAAATAAAGATCACATGTACACTTGAGGAGAATAAACTTGTGTTATTCCTTACATTTGTCCTATGCAGCTGAATAGAAATACAGATTTTGGCAGCTTGTTCAGAAATGTTGTTGGTACTATTTATTGCATTCCTATAACTCAACTTTATTCAAAGTGGATGTAAACAATAAATAAAATTATCGCCAAGGTTACTTTTTCTAAAAGTGGCTGTTACAATCAGAAAAAGAATGCTATAAAAATGGTATCTCATATTTCACATTTATTCTCCCTCAGTGACTTTATCAATTGTGCTCATTTTGCAAGTCAAAACAAGATTGTTCTGACTGCCAGTACTGCAGTTCCACATGTGACTTGAAAAGCAGACAATTATCTTCTCCTCTCTTTTTCAGTGATAAAGATTTTAGAATAAAAACCATACCCACCTATCTGGATGATGATTCAGGAGGTAAACCTGAGCCTTTGCAATTCTGCTTTGCAGTTCAGATAGTGGAAAACACATTTATAATTAAATGCATAAAAATGTCAAAAACCTGAGGCAGGCGCTTGGGCATCCAGTTTGTGATTGTCCTCCTGATGCCAAAGTCTTTTGATTCCAACAGCAGGCCTTGAGGTATGGCAAACATAAACATTAATGCAGCAGTGATTTTGAGTAATAGTAGCAATGTCTAAAATAACTGAAATTATACAGAACTGTTGTCTTAGTCAGCGTCTCCAGTGAGCTGATTGAGAGCTCAAGTCTGGATCTGAATCACAGGACTCTCATGGCACAGTTTCTAACAAACTGTCAGACCCTTATCACCTTATTTAGCCCTGAGTGGTGTAGTAGCAGAAAAAACTCTAAATGGAAAAGTAGCTAAGACACTTTTAAAACTCAGTGTTGTATTGGTTTACAAGTTTTCTGATGGCCTTTTGGCCTATGTATAGAAGAACCAAGGGAATCCATAATCAATGTAATATATAGTTTTCCACCTTGAATTTCCTTCTATTTCATATCAAGACCATCTTTTTTCTGATCCTTTATTGGTCATCAAAGAAAAAGGAACGAAGACACCTGCAAATGAACACTTTCTTTATAGCAGATACAGTGCACAGAGGATGACTGCTGGAACAGAGGCACAATTAAGGCTGCTGTTAAAATGTTGGTGTGCCTTTTTCAGTGCTAGTGTTTTGGGGATTTTACGGCTGCTTGTTTCAAAAGTGTATCTATTGTGTAGTTTCTTAATAATAAACTATGTCTTCCTGTTTTACATTGACAGGACCAGATGTGACTCCTTGTATGAACCTAAAGACTTATGTTTAAAAAGTGAAGGGGAAAAGAAAGGAAAAAGGGAAAAAAAACCATTTTCAAGGCTTTCCTTTGGGAATGATGCTTTGGTTTGGTTTGTTGTTTTTTTTCTCCCTCACAAATTTAACAGTAAAACAACTGTTTTTACTGCAGTTTAGAAAACGTAAAAAAAATACTTCCATGTGGCTGGAACATATAATTTAAAAAAAAAAAGTATTTGCTCTAACTATTTTCCCTTTGATTTACTTGGAGTCTTTAGAAAACATTCCTTCTGCTAACTATTGGCAATGTAACCTACTGTTTGTTAAGCGGCCGAGATCAATTTACAAACCTTTTGTTTAAAAAATCATTAAACAGACTAAATTAATGGCATATTGTGTGCTGCTTCTGATAATCCAGTTAAGAAAATAGCAATACATATCTAATAAATGTTTTCAAAGTTTCACTGAACTGTCATTGGAGCAACTGCTATATTGATCATTCTCTCTTTTCTTCTACTCTGAAGGGCTACATTTATACAGCTCAGATGTCTATCAAAAGAATAATCTTTCCTTCAATAACCTTTATTTTCTCTGAACTTTTAGCACATTTGATGTGCTTCTCCTCCTTAGAGTCTACAATTTATAAAAGGCATTTTGAATGGCATACAATGGTTCAGTGCAAGCCACTTAAAATATGCACTTATTTAACTATGGAAATTGTCAAAGTGTCTCTCACAGCTCTACCTGTAACTGTGAAATTGTCTATGTACAAATGCTTTGTTGAATGCATGACTTAGAAAGAGATGATAAAGACTTTTGCAGTGTCAAACCCTATGTATCACCGAAGATCTGCTGGGTGTCTGTTTACACATGCATCAACCCAGCAAATTTCCCAGGACTTAACTTCTTATTTCTTTTCTCCCGTCCCATTGTCTGCACTCATCTCTAAACCAGCTTCCTCTTTAAATTTCAGTGAAGAAAACACATTGCTGTCAAGTTGCCCACCAGACATTGGTGAAATTGACATGATATGCACCAGAGTAAGCAACAACATAAGTGTGTTTACAGTGAATGCATTTTATTTTAGATGTTCAGCCTTGGGCACTGTCAGGTTACCCTTAGAACCTCCTCTAGCTTGACCTTTCCTTGATTATATTTTTTCCCCTGGCAGAAATCTCTGAATAAGCTTTTCCCTTTGCTATTGCTTTTTCTTTCTTTGCAGCTACCTCTCTTCCTAACATACAGTTCACCCACCAAAAATAGCTGTCATAGTTGTAAAGAAGGCAGGCAGGCAGACATTGACTCTTAGCCACAGATCAACCAAATTATCTGTAGCTCTCATTGCATTTCACCTTTCTTGTTTGAAATG